ACACACACACACACACACACACACACAAACACACACACGTTTACTTAGCTATCTAAATGGGGACATTCCATAGGCGTAATGGTTTTTATACTGTACAAACTGCATATTCTATCACCCTACACCAACCCTACACCTAAAACTACCCCTTACAGGAAACTTTCTGCATTTTTACAATTAAAAAAAAACTTTGTTTACTTTATTTTTATACCAGTTTTACAAATGAGGACGTCCCCAAAGGGAGGTTTTTGGAGATTTGGTCAGGTTTAGCTCACTTTTGGGTACAAATGTGTCCCCTAAATATAGTTAAGTAGGCACACACACACACACACACACACAGTATATTGCCATTCAAAAGTTTGTGCTTGGTAAGATTTAAAAAAAAAAGATGTTAAGTCTCTTCTGCTCACCAAGTTTGCATTTATATGATTAAAAACACAGAAAAAAACAGGAATATTTTGACATATTATTACAATTTAAAATATCTGATTTCTATTTGAATATATGTTAAAATGTAATTGATTCATGTGATCAAAGCTGAATTTTCAGCATCATTACTCCAGTCTTCAGCGTCACATGATCCTTCAGAAATCATTCTGATATATTGATATGCTGCTCAAGAAACTTTTCTGACCAGGGCCGTGCACAGGGGGGTGGCCCGGTGGCTAGAGCCACTGCATCCACAGCATCACTCACAGTCTGTGTGCCTCTCTCTGGAGTGGAGACCACAGTTCATTAACAGGTAGATGCATTAAAATCCACATTACAGTCAGTGGATGATTCGCTGAATTAGTCATTTGGTAGTTTGTTTTTATATTTCTGTCGGTAAAGTGATTAAAGGTGATTACAACAAAATATCCACATTCTTAGAATTAGAATGTGTAATCAAATTATACCCGATCAGATCTATCATAAATAACAAAAAAATGTGCTTTTGTTGGCACATTTTGTAGAAATAAAAATGCCTTCGGAAAAAAGAAGACAGAGAGAAAGAGCGAAGGGAGGCTGCTAAATGCAGTTCAACATTGCAAACATGAATTCAAAGCTCTAGCAAGCCAGCAGGTAAATTATCATATAGAATATTTAGCAGTTTGTCACACTTTAATTCTTGTAATTAAGTATATTTCTGTCAGGACCACTATCGTCAAAGATGATTGACAATTAGCATACAGTTTGGATTGGCGGTATGGTTCTGTTCTGGGCAAGAACTCGATAACCCCCCCAGGGAAAACAGAACAGAACCAACATAAATATATTGCAGATATCGTTAAAGTTCAATAATGTTATGTACACATTTTAGAATTAGTCTGATTCAAAGGAGAATCAGAAGGCTGAATCCTGACTGACAGAGGAGGAGGTGGGGATGGAGGAGGGTAATTAGCTATTGAACAATGTGAAAACTGCTGATAATACTGAGGGAACGTATATATGAATGCTTAGATAGGTGTCGTATTCCCATAGGTTGATGGGGATCAGCTGAGAGTCAGCTGATGCAAGCTTGACTAACGTGACCTGCCAGAACTAACGTTACTCTAGATTTCCCATTATAATCACTTGTCTTGATACTAGTAATCTATAACACATCATATTTTATTAAAACCTAGGCCTATAAATAGTTTTTAAAAAATACTATAAATGTTCTAAATGAGTTGTTTATTAGTATATAATATAGATTTATGCTGCAAAATATTTAATTAAATGTCTAATACTTATAGGGGAGAGTGGGGTAAGATTAGCCATTTTTTTACTTGTGTGGTCCTCAAGATAAGGGAAAATTACGCAGAAGTACATCGAAAGCTTCTATCCTATCCTAATGAAAGTATTCAGATCATTTTAAATGATCAGAATGTATCTATGACAAAGGGTTCTAAAAATATGGCTTCTTATAAAAAAAAGTGTTTCCATGGCTCAGTTTGCCCCGAGTTAGGGGTAAGTTGACCCGAGTCGAGTCAGTGGGTGAGATGCACCATCTGGGTGTAAAATGACCATCTGACCAAATCTGATTCAAACAAACTAATTTAATAATTTCCTTTTACAAACAGTCATATTTATTTTCATAAAGTTAACTTTAACAACATAAAACCAACCAAATGAAGTCTAAATTTCAATATTTAAATTGTTTGCATTTTCTGAAACAATATGTTGAACACCAAAGTTGTTTGATAAACTAAACCAGTAATGTCACATTAAAACACCAGTTTATAATTCAGAAATGTAACTTAAATACAGTGCCTTGTGATGGGGTAAGTTAAAATGCTGACTCAATTTACCCCACAGCATTTGGCTCACTTTGCCCCATAGCTGCCATTTTGGAAAAAAATAGCTACTGTTGCTTACCAATTCAGGCTAATATTTAGCTAAATGATTTGCATGGTTTTATATGTTGCTAAATCACCTATATGTATCATAAAAATGTTTATACCTGGATAAATTTGCTTTGATGTAACAACCTTTACCATTTCATCTGTTATAACTTTGACAAGCCAAAAACTGTTTTTAAAGTAAATGGGTACCTTCCACTTTCCCCCCACTCTCCAAAAAATGACCATCTGACCAAATCTGATTCAAACAAACTAATTTAATAATTTCCTTTTACAAACAGTCATATTTATTTTCATAAAGTTAACTTTAACAACATAAAACCAACCAAATGAAGTCTAAATTTCAATATTTAAATTGTTTGCATTTTCTGAAACAATATGTTGAACACCAAAGTTGTTTGATAAACTAAACCAGTAATGTCACATTAAAACACCAGTTTATAATTCAGAAACTTAAATACAGTGCCTTGTGATGGGGTAAGTTAAAATGCTGACTCAATTTACCCCACAGCATTTGGCTCACTTTGCCCCATAGCTGCCATTTTGGAAAAAAATAGCTACTGTTGCTTACCAATTCAGGCTAATATTTAGCTAAATGATTTGCATGGTTTTATATGTTGCTAAATCACCTATATGTATCATAAAAATGTTTATACCTGGATAAATTTGCTTTGATGTAACAACCTTTACCATTTCATCTGTTATTACTTTGACAAGCCAAAAACTGTTTTTAAAGTAAATGGGTACCTTCCACTTTCCCCCCACTCTCCAGTACTTCCATTGAAGATGAGGCAGAAGCAGGCTCAGAGAGTGAGGAAGAGCCCACTCTTATCAAAACATCTACAATAAAGTCTAAAATCATTACAGAGTGTGCTGTCTTCTCTTTTACTTTTATATTTGTAACAACTGGATCACTTGTATTAACAAGCACCCACCCCCCCTAGTGCCACTTTTTTGGGGGTTTGAGCCACTGCCCCTCAAAATGTCTGTGCACGGCCCTGTTTCTGACTATTATCAATGTTGAAAACAGTTGAGCTGCTTCATATTTTTGTGGAAATGTATCTGATAGGATTCTTTGGTCAATAGAGAGTTCAAAAGAACAGCATTTATTTAAAAAAAAGGTCAATTTTTATTAATTTGATGTTTTCTTAACATGCATTTTCTTTATGTTTTATAACTTTTTTTTTCTCATAAAAATCTTATTGACCATAACATTTTGAACAGTAATACTTTTGTGAACCATAATGGAAGTACCTCAATACACATCCTACATAAATTCAGCCCAAAATACTAATTCTGCCATCATTTACTCACCCTCATACTAGTTCTATGATGCTTTTGTGTCTTTTTTTTCAAGCTTGAAAACTTCAGTCCCCATGCATTCTAATTGCACAAAAAAGAGTGACTAATAAAGTGGTTTGGAACCACATGATGGTGAGTAAATGGTGACAGACTCTTCATTTTTAAGTGAATTATCCCTTTAATGAGAGGATGGACCAAACAGCTTCCTTAAGTCTCGCCAGCACAGATATACAGCACAAAACTACTCAGAAAACAAGAGAAAGTACACCAGCAGATGAAGGAGAGGAGGGAGAGATGGAGAGAAGGCTGGAAGCCACAAGACAAATGACGGAGGTAAAGTGAGAGGAGGGTTGGATGGCTTACGCTGTGTTGCATCGTCCTCCAGACAATCCTCTGGGATGCGGAAGCAAAAAAAAACAGAGGAAAAAAGGGATTTCATTGAAAGTGGAGATGAGAAAGAGAGAAAGCATACCACGGGCAAACACATGATAAATATGCATTAGACAGAAAAGCAATATGCACGATTACATTTGATGAATGGCATTGCTGGGATATTCCATCCCTTTCCCCTCGGTCTAAAAACCAAGCACATCCCCTTTACACAGAAACACTTCTCTCTATCTCAACATTTATTTAACTGTCACGTCTCTGCATTATAAATTCCAGGGTTAACTTTAAACTCATCCAATGCACAGCTGAGTGGAAAAAAACCACTCGCCCATATTGGATAGAAAGTCATTTTACATGAATTCTCCCAGTTAGCTGGAGGCTAAAATAAGATTATGTGCAAATGCAATCTTGTTCTACTTTTAAGTCAAATTCATATTCTCATCTATTCTTGTTAAGTATTATGAGTCAGAACACTTTATTCCAGTAGAGCAACTCGTAGACACTACTTCATTATAAGCCTAGACCAAAGAAAGACAAAACAACAAAATAATAAATTAATACATTAGCACAAAAATTATGCATAAATGATTCATGGAATGTTTTAGTTGGATGAACTTACTTATTTATAATTGATTTATAATTTAGAACTTGTTTCAAAATGTTTGCAAAATTATAAAATGGAACGTTCTCTTAATGTTCATAAAATAAAAAAAATAAATAATAATAACAATAAAATAAACATTTACAACGCATCTTTTCAGTAAAATTCATATTTTGTCTATCACTCCTCTAACACTCCTATTCCGGTAGAGGTACTCAAGTACACTTAGACACCACTTGAAAATAAAATAAAATTAAGTAAAATACAATTAAATAAATAAAAAAATGAAAAAAAATTAAATAAAAATAAGTAATTAAAATAAATAAATAAATGGAAAAAAATGAAAATAAATAAAATAAAATAAAATACTACATACAATTTGTGTAATGTTCAACATTTCGGTAACACTTTACTTAAAGCCTTTAGGTATAATGTATTATAAAAGTATTTATTGTTTATTGTATGTTGCAGTGCATTGTTACTTTTCATAAATAATTGTAACCAGTTGAAATGCAATATAATATTTGAAGGTTTTATTTTCATGCATTATTTCTAAAGGTGTAATAATGAATAGATAAGTATTATAATGTATTGCACTGTGGTTACAGTTATTCAAAAGATCATACAATGCATTAAAAGGTTCATTATGAGGTAGAATTAATGCAATATAACTCCTTTTATAATGCATGACATAAAAAGGCATTAAATAAATTGGTACTAGAATTTTTTTTTTGTTTCTGTTTGACTACTTGCTTCAGAATGGCCATAGAACATTCAAAAGTAACATATCCATTATGTTTGCAAAACGATAAAACGGAACGTTCCCTTAAAGTTCAAGTAATAAATAAATAAATCAATAAATACATGTTTTACAAGATTTATATTGTTCTACTTTTAGGTCTAATTCATATTTTCATCTATTATTGTTAAGTATTATGAGTAACTCGAGTTAAATGATAAAATGGAGTGCTCACTAAATGTTCATATAAGCCAAGAAAAAAAAAAGGAATTTTGTTCCACTGTTAGGTCAAATTCATATTTTCCTGTTTTCCTGTTATGAGAACGCTGTATTCCAGAAGAGGACCTCAATACACTCAGACACTACTTCATTATAAGCCTAAAAAAATCAAGAAAACAAACAATAAAATAATAATAATAACCATGAAAACCTTCACCCAACCTTATTAAGCTGGACTTTAGAGCTATTTCTACTTAATTTAACACAAAAAAAAAAAAAATAAAATTCAAATTTTTCGTCCAGTACCACCACTAAAGCTTTCCCCAGCGGCCGCTGCATTCTCTCAGGTCCGACATGCAAAGGTCACCATCGCCCACTCACGCCTTCCCACGCTGCCACCCACTCACCAGTCTGTCCAGGCTGGTGCCGGCTGCCGTGGTCGGCCTCTCTTCTGGACTGTAGGGTCTAAAGCGACTGTTGAACACATCCGAGATCCCGCGGGCAGATCGGCCCACTCCAGCTGCTTTGGGATGACCGCATCCCTGAAACACCTATAATTACCAAAGAGGGAATGCATCAGTCCGTGAGGTTTGGGTATAAAAACAGCTGTTGTAAAAGAGGTGAAAATGAAGAATGAAGTACGATGACAAGGAGATATCTTTAACGCAACAGGCATTTCACTGTACAAGTTTAAGCTTTATTTTAAAATTTCATTTGAGTTATATTTTTATAATTTTTTTCATGTCTTTTTAGATACAGAAACAGAAATGTCAACAAACAAACAAACAAATAAATAATTTGAAAACAAACAAAAACAAATTTGATTCCGATATAAAATGTTCTACAGAAGACAATGGTGTGCATATTTAGCTAAATTCAACTCAACTCGCTTTTATTGTTTTACTAATTTTATTTTGTTATTTCATTTTAAGTTTTCTTCTCATCCGATAGTGTCAGTGTAGTCAAATTATTAATACATCTACATTTAGATAAAATACCATTCTGAGTTATTTAAGTACCTAAATGCATGCATATCAACATTTGATGAATAAACAAAAAATACATTAAATGGTGAAGGACAAATTGTAATTCCAAGGATACTGACCCTCAAGATTTTCAGCTGGTCAAATCAAAGGCAAACATGTAAAAATGAGTGTCACGAGAGCAATAATGCATGCTTTGCATTGGCACGCTGCAGTGAATTGTGGGTGAGCTGACAGTGATGGAAGATTTTAATGGCACGGCTGGCTCTTATGGCAGGATGTTGTCTGAGCTCGGATGTGGGACGATCTGTCACTATGATTACCATTCAGAGTCTCGGGCTGACATGTACACACTGATTTCCATGCTCTCTGTGCATTTTCAATCAGGTCCTGCTTTCCAGAAGCCTTTAATGTAAAAGCAGAGCGCGGTACTTGAAACACACCACACAGAGCATATTCTTTCTTTCATTCTTCACATTAGAATCTGAAGATCAAGCCACATTTTATTTTTTGTCCTGGCCTCCGAGTGGAAGTCCATCAGGGAGACACGGCTAATTTCCCGGAATATGAAAGCTTGTGCTGAAAGCTTGGCTACCTGCGGTGTGGCTTTACAACATGTTTTATGAGCATGCATATTTCATCAACATCACCAAACGTCTGTAAAAATGTTTCTAGTCTTTCAAACAGTAAAACTAGACCTTTGTGATATATTTGAGAAATCTATCTATCTGTCTGTCTGTCTGTCTGTCTGTCTGTCTGTCTGTCTGTCTGTCTGTCTGTCTGTCTATCTATCTATCTATCTATCTATCTATCTACCATTGCTTCTATCTATCTATCTATCTATCTATCTATCTATATCTATAGAAAAATGTCATGTTACTTTAAATACACTGAATATTGTTATCATTTATTTTAAATTGCTTTATTTATTCAGGCAAAAATGGCATGATGGTTTAACTATCAATGACAGATTAAAATTTAAAAAGGAGAAAAATCGTATTTTTAACATTAAAAAGTATAAAAATTAAATTAATAAATTAAAATTATAAAGTAAATTAATACGTATGTATATAAATAGACTTTTACTATTAATACTTTTGAATTAACTTTTTTAGTATATAAATTAAATAGTAAATACATTTTAAAAAGTATATTAATTTAACATAGTTTAATTCTATAATTGATCAAAAAAAAAAATCAACAAATCTGTAAAACCATACACTAATTCTCGGCCTTTGACTCAGTTTTCAATTTCATAAAACACTTTTTTGCAAAACACAACACACAATTCTCTATGTGACACACACAAATCTAACAGGAATTAATATTATGGCAAAGGTGTTTGTTTTTGAGATGTGTTTGTGATATTTTGAATGCAGTGCTTCATTTTGAATGCAGAAGTGAGGCATTTTGCATTTTGTGTGTGCAATTCTTGGATTTGAGTGTAAAGTTTTGAAAAAAAAAGAGGCAAAGTTTAAAATGCGTGTAAACAGTTGAAAAAATATAAATGTAAAAAAAAATATATATAATCTATTAAATAGATTTAAAAAAATAACACAAAAATGTAAATACAGTATAATAATCATTAATTTAAAGTTTATATTAAAATAATAATTAAAATGAACATAATACATGCATACATATATACAGTACTTCACAGTAAAGATCATGTTTCTAAGATCCAAAAAAAATAAATTCTAAGAATAGAAAAAGATTTATCCTTGTCTTGCAAATCCTTATTTGTCATTGACCCAAATAACCAACATCTCAAGACTGCAGATAATAACGGCAAAGTCATGTTCCTCACTAGCGCTCTTCTGAAGAACTAAAAATAAGAAAGCATTTTGACTTTCTACTGGAATGGAAAAACACATGGACCTGCTCCAGCCTGAGGAGCTTCAGTCCTTGATATCTGTGTGTGTGTGTGTGTGTGTGTGTGTGTGAGAGCAGACGTACCTTAGATGAAACTTGCATGCTGTTGTCCTGCATGGTCATGATGGCCTCAGAGATCTTTACATCTATCGGCTCCATGACGGTCTCTATGTTAAAGGGCCCTTCCAGTCTATCAGCCACCAGCAGCATGGCATCTGTCACAACATGAGACGACAAACACGGTCATGTACAGGACACACACACACAGACACTGAGATACCATGAGCCTCTCGTCCATCTACATCCACAAAAAAACACAATCTCATGTTTCTTCCATCAAAACCTCCATATGTGGAATCTTACTGACCATTTCATACTATATTTAGTATACTTGAATATACTTATCAAACTTGAAAAACATTTCAAATAACAATGTCTGTTTTGCAAGCAAACAAATGCATTATTAAATATTCCAAATTAGTGTTATCACTTATTATATTACTAGGTGTATTTCATTAATTCTGAGAAAAACATGCCATTATTTAACTGTATAAGCTATATATATATATATAGCTTATTGTTACAGTTAATATATATATATATATATATATATTATTTGATATAGCATGCACTGATTGTTCATAATAATTAATCTAAGAAAATAAACAGTAATTTTAATGTCATGCTGACTTTAACAAAGTCTGCTATAAAATAAATATAACATAATGAAAATCATAATATTTCTTAAAAAAAAAGGAAAAAGTAATTTTATGAAAACAATTCTGAGCACAACACAATATGCAATATGAGGAAAAACAACCTGCGCACCTAAGAGTAGACGCAAAATGTCAACCTTCAGCAGCTGAGACAAATCAAGACAGTTTAATTACAGCACACGAGCGGCTTCTTTGGCATCTTCCCATTTTCCAGAGTGATTTTGAGGGAAATGTACACATTACTGCTCTGCCAGTGTTACTTATTCTAACAAACTGTCTTTCGCAGCCAGAAACACATAATGACTCTTCATTTGTTTAGCTGCGAGGGACATTATAGAGAAACGATACGTCTCGAGATTTCAAAATATGAGCGCGAGGGAAAAACCTCAAGGGTAAAATCAATTCGCTGACACTAACTGAATCAATACATTACTTGTTTTTATGCCCGTGTGACAGTCGTATATACAACTCTGAGGGCTTGATCGGGAAAACAGGAAGTTTAATGTTCATCGAGCCGTGCCGCTTTCTGAGGGCCTGTTGAGTCTCGTATTTACCAACAGTCCATCTGTTGGACACTTCACACGGTTTACTAGCGTGCTTGTGCATAATAAAGCTTTTTCATTTGCATAATTTAATTTGCTTGATTGCATAACAGACATTGTTATTTAAAGTCAACATGAAATCAAAAATGGGCATTATTTACTACTTACTAATCAGCTACCATTTACTTGAAAATGCTTTATTCATTCATTACGTCGATTCTGGCACCCAACAACACAACAAGATGATATTTTAAACTCCTTATGTAGCCGAATCTGTGCTAGTTTGAATGGGCCGCCTCCAGTTTCCCCTTTGTTTTGCTCAAGCGGCAACCTCCCAGTCTTTCACTTAAAGCTGATACGGAAGTGACTAAAACTGCAATTCATCGACTGGCCGCTAGAGGCTGGCTCCAAAAGGGAGTCAGTCCCATAGACTCCCCATGTTAAAATGCCCAACTTTACAGCAGAAAAAAAAATGTTTACAGCCTGGTACAAAAAGTGCTTTTGGTCTATATAGGTAATTTTGCCCTTCATGACAACTGTGAGGGGGGTGAATTTTTTTTTAATAACTCATCCATTTAAATTATATTAAGCCTTAAAATTCTGCATAACTAAGGGCATGGCCACTTGAGTGACAGGTGGACTGCCGCTCTGCTCCAGAGTGTGAAACTCGCTAGACTGTGAAACTTAGAAAAATCGCTTTAAATATTTTTATTTGTCAACAGAAAAAATGTATTATGAGTAGGACACTGGAAATCTGGCAATTAGATGTTTTAATGAAAATGATCTCAAACTTGATTGTTACCGCTATTTTGAAGTTATTGTAGGTACTCTGCCTTTGCACTGTCTGCAAAAATTGAGATGTCACACCAAGGCAAAAGGCAGTAGCTTCCACATTATATACAATATTTGGGTGCTGATCACCATTTACATAATCATTATAGTAACATCTGTATAAAATCTAGTGATCACTGGCTAGACTATAACATATAGTAATGTAATTCACATTTTTTTCTGACCGTAATAACCAGACAAAAAGTTAAACGTGAGTGGATACCGTTTTGCAAGCAATTTATTTGCAATGTTCGCTAACATTAAAGGATGCAAGACATACTTAGCCTATTGTTTTTACATCGAACTGAATGAAAATAGCTTAACCTAAGAACGACTTGTGGATTGATTGATGTGAGCGGCAGCAGGAATAATGCTCAGAATGATTGTGAATTAAACATCTCCGATGACGTTCATTGCATTGTTTTTTTATCGAGTTACAAGAAAAGGTAGGAAACGGATTTAATTAATTAATTGCGAACAGTAACTGATTTTATGTGATATGCTGTCATGGCATTCGACTCCTCACACGTGCAGAAGTGGGTAGCCCTAGACTGAGAGCTGGCATCTGCATTATAAAAAAAAATAAAACTTTAAAGTTTATTTATGATTAATTATTGTTGCCAAGTTATCTAGTCGTTGCTTGTTTACAGTGCTTTGTTATATGGAGCAGTTTGTTAAAAAATAAGTCTAAATAAGTGCCGACAGATGTATGAAAGTACACAAGTCACACCGTAATTTAAACGCGGCAGACTTTAATGGACATTAAAACCAAGGCAGAATACCGTACAACTCCAGGCTGGCACAGTAATATTTACAAAGGGCTAAACAAACGCAGAGCACCGCAACTTAATTTGAGCGATCTAAAACAGTCAAAGAGCAGTAACTGATGATACTGTGTTCTGCCTTGGTTTCTCCTGGGCTTTTCTCCAAGATACTTATACACATGATAAAGGAGGTCATATATGTCCCAAAATTATCAATAACTCATTTTGACCAAAAACAAAGTTATGGTGTTTTGTCTTTGCACGGCAGCACTGCTGTCACCATAGACGGGCATGTTTTCAGGAACTAGCGCCTCAGCTTCACCCATGTCCCGCCTTTTTGCCCATTTTCGATTATCCGGGAGTGACGCGCTGCCAAGATGGCAGCGGTCAACTCCGCCCACTTTAGGCTTCAAAAATGCTCTTCTGAAACCTACGAGTGAAGTCACGGACACTACGTCCATTTTGTTTTACAGTCTATGTCTCATCTTTTTAAGTGGGAGAACTTGCACAATTGGTGGCTGACTAAATACTTTTTTGCCCCACTGTATATTCTTAAGGACATCAAAATCTAAAATAAAACTCCAGAAAGGTGTAAAATATGTGCCCTTTAATATATATTTTAGTACTCAAGACCATTTTTTGAAGGTCTTGGTATTGTCTTGGTCTCAGACTAAAAGGACTCAGGATTTTATTTCAAGACCAGCCAAGACCACAACTCCAGGGATATCGCTAAATTGCTGGTGCATTGTCTGATTTATTTGTTAAAATCATTAATGTAATGATGTAAAACTTCCGGCTTTAAATGCAATCAATAACTTATTTCTAATATGATTTCTTTTGATATTGTTGTGCCCAGAGAGAGAGATTCAATGGGGAATTGTGTCAAAAATGTAACCAAAATCAATACAAATGCCCAAAAAAATTCAAGATATGATTGCAAACTTGTATGAGATTTTTTTTTTGATATTACATCAAATTAAGCAACATCACAAGCTTTCTTTTTCACGATTATGAGCACAATTGCAAAACGTGATATGAATTGTGTACATTATATTGGATGTTATATTATACTTTATATTTATTTTATTAAATTTTTTATAAAATAAAAAAATATATAATATTTCGGCAATGAAACATGTTCCAAACAAAGTCCAGCAATCCATAGCAACTGTTGCTTTTCTGAGCAACACACAGCAGAGATTCGTTACTTAATGAATCAGCTGCTTTGAACGAATCGTTGAATAAATTATTCTGTGACTCACTCCCAAGTGAGTTGTTGCCACCTACCCAACAGGTGGTTTTAGTTTGACATTCATATTCAATTTTTCCATCATATTTCTATATCCAAAAAAAACATTATCAACATTATTCCTGCAATTGTAATTGTACCAATTCAGATGCAGCTTCTGTGCCACCTCTGATGAATTCTGTTGTTACTGATTTGATTGGTAACAGCTCTAAACAGTGTCTTATTATTCTATATGTATTAATGCATTAAATGTCGATGTTTCAGATGAAATTAAGGAGTGATAGTTTGGTCTTGACTACAACACAATATAACAAAGAGTGAAAAATTTAAGGGGGTCTGAATACTTTCCGTACCCACTGTATATGACACTTCATAGTACTTTAACACCATGTAGAGAATACCATGATATTACTATGGTATACCTATATGTCCAACATGGAAGTACTGCAGTACCCAAAATATCATGGTAAAAACATTGTAAGTGACATGGTACTATGGTAACACAATAGTATTATTTGAAGTACTTTTACAGTAAAGTGTCAAAAAGTTAAATGGTACCATAATATATTTCAAAATACCACGGTATTACTATCATTATCACTGTACATATTTGTAGGGTTCAAATTCAATACTCTCTTATTAAATCCACTCTAAAAAAATCATATGAAGGTGTGTTATTAAAAAACTACTAGATTCATCTATACTGATGACAGCTCAATCATCCATCACACAAGACAAGACAAATGACAAAAAAAGTTACAATGGAGGAAAAATAAGACTTTGCAAGTGTTATTAAGTCACATTTGAAGGTCATGCTGGCTTGTGAAATTTGCAAAGTTTTCACTGGCTTGTAAAGTCTTTGAGTCATAAACGGATGTAATTTATTCATCTAATGCACTCTCACTGCAGTCCAGTGTGAAAGTATTTAAGCAGATAAAACACTAATTAACTGTAGCTAGGAAACAAACTTTAGAAACGGCGCATTTGTACAGAATTGCTTGAACAGTAAAGATGATGTGAATCGAGGTGAAAATTAGACAAACAAATTATAAAGGAAGACCTAAAGACGCATTCAGCATCTGAACCGGACGGTTTTCCATTAAAGCTCTAATT